ATCCAGAAATGAGTTATCCCTCTTCCCTCCCTGGAAAGAACAGACTTTCCCAGTTATGTCTCAACTGCTTATTTTTTTCTAGAGATGGAACAAGAGGGCTCAGCAGTCTCCTCACCACTCCATCTATATCTCCAACCACCATACAGGCACTTTGTAATCGTGGTCTTCATAGAAGACAGAAAACAAGTCCTACTAGGTCCTCCAGACAAATGGACCTAGGTTTCTGTAGACAGATGGATCTGTCTACCTGGATTTACTGTGGACCATGGTGACAGAGCAACAGGCCGGCAACTGACCTTTGGGGGATTGCAGGGACTCTGACAACCTTAATAGGTCATTTTCTCTATAGTCAGCAACCTGAAGAGACTGGGGTAAACTTCTGTAAATCATATCCCAAACCACTCCTGTCTATGCCCCTGAAAACATCCCTGTCTCTTGCCAGTATTCTTTGCAGTGATGGATTTTTATCAGCTAATAAATGTGTTGCTTTAATTCTGTTTAGTGCTACAGTCACATCACATGGCTTCAATGTGCTCTTGACTCAGGCCACATCTTCCACTGGTTAGAAATACAGCTGTTCCGTGTGAGAAATACGGCTGCTGGAAAAACTGTTAGGTATTTTGCTAAGAACAACATTAAAATACAGTTTGACTAGCAATTGTAGGGATATAAATGCCTGTGATCCAGCTCAGACATGATTAAAACAGCCCTTAAATGTATCAGCAGGAGGCATCCTGAAATGAAGTAATATAAAGCAGGCATGCAGAAAGCATCGCTTCTCCTATCATAAACATCCAGCATGCCATGACCTCTTCTATTTCTTAGTGGCATTTCCCTCAGCAAGTTTTCAGATGACTGTGCAGAGCAGGTGACACAACAGAAGGATGGGATGCCAACCAGAGAACCTGGACAAACGTGAACCTCAAACGTGAGAACCTCAGGAGGTTTACCAAGTTTAAGTGCAAGGGCCGCACCAGCATCCGTCATCGGACTAGGTGGTATAAGATGCTGAGGACAAAGTGATGGTAGTGTGAATGAATGTGCCACTGGATCTAAATACGCATCCAAAATCTCTAGTTATGTTTTTAATCAGTAGTATAGATGAAAGATAAAATCAAAAGTCAAGAAATCAGAGCAGACAGGAGATGCATCAGATCAGAAAGTGAAGCAAGAATGCAACCTGACACATGAGGGCTGACGAGCATTATGATCCAAAGTTTAAGTGCTGATGCCATTCCTCTGACTTGCACATTCTATCATAGAGGTTACTTTTGTTTAGGAAGGAAAATATCCATAAAAGAAAGCTTGATGTCTGTGATATTTAAAGGGCGCTAGTTAAAACAGCAAGGAAGGAAGAATTTTAATCTAACATGACATTAGGAATAAATTAGTATGGCTATAAAGGAGACTGAAATGTCTCCTGAATAGAAACTGCTTCTACTTCTCAGTCAATAACATGCTGGGCTCCTAATGAGATATTGTCATTCTGATCCTAATTACTTGTACCACACAGAATTATCCTCCCCATATAGAATCTGTAGCTAATCTTTTGTGTCTATCACTGAATGTTTTAATTAGTCTTGGTTAAAAAAAATATGTATATACTGAATATAATTTTTTTTCCATATGTTAAAAAAAGATTAATGATGTACTGTAAAACAACCCTTGGCAGTATTGAGAGGCTTACATTTTCTTGAGATGCTATAAAAACCATACCTTTGGAGGAAGAGGACACAATGAGAACCTTTGAAATCTTGACACATGGGGTTTATGCAGAAGAGAAGTGGAGGCAAATCTTCCTTTAATGGAACATGAAGCTCTGTGCCACTATAAATCTTAAAAAATCCCACATGATCCAATTACATATCTTATGCTGTCACTGAGAATTCTGGAGCTCAGGACTTAAAGGAATCATCTCTTCCTCCATCTGAGTAGTGCTTAGGCTTTGGTATACATACTCAGACCTTCCATCTGGGATTAGTGTGTATTGGATCTGAACCTTAGCCAGTAAAAGAATTAAATACAATACAACTGATCTCAAAGGACAACTGTCCCTACCCACTATTTTATTAGAGTACTTTGTGGACAAAAGTGGAATTCTTGAATTTAGTTTTGTTATTCCAGGTCTTCTGAGAGACAAATGACATGAAAAGAGCATCCTACATTTACATTGGAGATGGTCACTTGATAAGCACATTTTCAGTTGTCAAAATGGAAATGGTAAAAAAACCTTTCCTCTCCTTTTTTTTTTTTTTCAGATTTCACACCATTGTCTTTATAAAGGAATCAAACTATTCATTTTATTTTACTTAGATCATCTTTCATATTTTGCGATCTTGAAGATTATTTATGTGCACTTTCTGCTGGCAAAACTGAAAGATTTGGAAACACTGGCAGTTCAAAATTCTTCTGAATTAGTTTTCATAAAGGATATCAAAGGAAGCAGAAGTGCTTTGAGAATTCCATCAACTCACCTGGACATTCCTGTTTATTAGTACCTGAGAGACTATAAAGAAACAAAAAGTAAAGTGAGTGTTCTATTGCTAAAGAGAATTCTAACTTGGTAGTATGCTAATCCCGTGTTAAATCACATTACATTAATTTTAATTGCTCTGAGGTGAGGGGAAATAAGTAGGAGGGCAGGAGAAGTTGTAAGTTCTCCAAATTTGCTCATTGGTAAAAGACTGCCTGTGTTGACACAGAAATAGCTAAGCATATGAAAAGCAAATAAAAAGAACATGTTGTTTTTCTTTCTGCATTGGGTTGTGGAAAGATTCCTGTTCAGATAGCTAGAAAAAGCCACTCTACCAAAAGAAATGTCACTGTTCATTGTAGCTGGGTGGATATCTATTGTGGTCTGAGAAGGACTGAGTGGGATAATATATCAGGGAAACAAGTTTTCATGGAGGAGTGCCCTTAGTATACTGTTGTATTTAACTTTTATTGTATTATATATTACTATTATATTACATATTACTTAGATTATATTGAAGGGTGAAGTATGAAATGTATTTTAGTGAATATTAGATGTTTAAAATGTTATCAAAGCAGAAAACTAAAGTTGTGATATGCCACAAATTCACAAATTTATTCCTAATTCAAAAGGTAAAATCCCGAAAAGGTAAAGACCTACCACAGGATAGGTCTTAATCAACTTTTTGCTACCTTTTGCTTTCTTCATTTTTTCTGTCCATTCTTTATCTGTCATTTACATTCAATTTTCTTTCTTATCTCCCAATCTTTTTGAGGAGAGAACACAGACACATTCTTCCGCTAAAATAATTCCTGTCAATTAAAATCTTACTTGACAGATACCTCATGATAGCCCAGCATTGAAGGAAGAAGTTTAAACCCAATGATTTAATGACAATCAAATGTCCCAGGGAAAGGTGACAGCTTCACCTTTTACATAGTCCTAAGAGCTCTGATGTTGACCTAAAAGCTATCTGGCCCTTGCCAGGTTAAAAGCTGTCCTTCCATTAAAGCACTATCATAGTAGATACTGAGGTTACCTTAGTGACATGTCTGATGGCTCAGAAAGGCTGCACAACTTATCAATCTCATTCTCAGATAGTTGCGCTGTTCAAGCAGCAGTGTTTAGGGAATGTCACTGTGGAATTAGGGAAAGTGTTTCATTGTTTAAGGAGAATGGTGCAGTTTAAGTCCATTAGCATGTGCTAAGTAAGAAGGGGAAGCATTAGTTTGCTTCTGTGAAAGCATATTTTGCAATTACAAGTTAAATTTAAAATCTTTAAAATATTTCAAATTTGCTTTGCTATTAAAAAACATTTACAAATGAAAACAAACACAGTTCAGCCAAATTCTTTATTGAGTATTTGTTTCAAAACAGAAGTAGAAAAACATGTTAGACAATGCCTCCGATATTTTGGTCTGCAAAATTAAGGAACTTTGAACAAGTTTTTTCTACTCTATGAATAATTGTCTTTCACCTTTTCTTGATAAAGGCAGAAAATTTCTATGAGTACAAAATTAGAGTGATAAAATTGACATAATTTACAGAAAAATCCACTTTAGTACCAGACATTAGCAAAGCATGTTTTGATACAAAAGCTTTCAGACCTGGCCTCATTTTTTGAAGACTTTTTTCCATGCTGAGTTAACTGCTTGCATGCATTTTATTTATCACTTTTATAATCCACTTTAATTATCAAAAGACACGTTTAGGAAAAATGGGAAAACACTCAAGAATCTCAATATATTTATTGTTATAGGATTCCTTTAATGGGAATGTGATTTCTTATAAATAAAGAAGTCAACATGATCACTGATATATTGCAAGAAGCTCGTAATGTTTGCTTTTTTCCTTTTTTGAAGAGCTTCCATTAGCCAAGTTACTAGCAGGTATTTGGATATGCAGTGTAGGACAAAAAACCCATGATACATTTAATATAAGGCATATTTGTTTGCTTAGAAAAGGTAACATTACTGGTATTACAAATTTAAACACAGGATGAATTTTGACTTATAAAAGCATACAATACTACTGAACCAAAAGTGCTATGTTAACATCTCATATTTCCTTAGATTACTATAAAAGTCACCTGAGGTGATTCTTTTTCTTGTTTCTAGAAATCATCTAATTTCACTTATATTTCTTATTTAGTGGAAATAATAATAATAAAAAAATACACTCTGTATTGTTCCCTGCTCATTTTTAATCAAATCCTGCAAACACTTATTAACCAGTGGAAGAAAGAATCCTGGTTCTAACAGAAGTTTTTGGGTTTGCAGGATCCCACCCTCGATAGTGCTTACTATCAAGAGCAGTAAAAGCACCTCCAATGGATTTCTCCTAGTGAGCACTGTGCTGGCAGTGAACATCTGCAGCTTCACATCTTTTTGTGGATTCATGGTTCAGTTTACGTTATGTCACAAAACAACGTCATTTTCTAATGTTCTCATAAAAAAAAATCCAAAGAGTTCCTGTCAAAGACCATGTTGTTAATTTGTAATTCTGTGAATTCAGTCTTGGCAAGCTTTTAGGAATGATCTAGTCTTGTCCTCCTTCTTGTTCCTCCTCCTGCAAAGTAGGGAAAAAAACCTTTAGTTATTAACTGTAATTATATGTAATATAGTAAGACTTTATACTGTATTTACTTTTGAAACAGACATGTGAAAAGGAAAGATGAAGCCTGGAGCTGAATATGTCTCCTTGTGCTGGCAGCTCTGAAATTAAACTGATCTTTCAGCTTCTTCATTAATCAAAATAAGATAGATTCTGAGAGTTATAAATCTTGCAGTGGAGAATCCCAAAGTGTCAGTTTCTCATTGCTAAGTCTTCCCTTTGATGTCTTTAATCTCATCTGAAACACTCTTTCAGTAAAGCAAACAATCTAGATTGTTTTCAGATATCAGAAAAAATAATTAGCAACTCCAGATTTTGTTAGGGTATTTTTAAACATACAGCTTTTTCTTTTGAAATCTGTATTTTTAAGAGTCTTTTTTCCCCTGTCCTAACTCTTAAGACAACAGAAATAATATTTGATATGTGTTATAATGTTCAAATGTATGGCTTTTTTTACCTTGTGCCTTCCTGTTTGGTTGTGCTTTCCGTACAGGTGCGTCTAAAAAACAGAAATATTGCAGTCAGAATTTATTTGCTGGAGACTTTGAATTAGAACTCATTAGAAATATTGGAAACTCATTGCTGATTTTTGAAGTTTTTCTTTAATGTTTTCAGTAAATTAAGAATTTTGTTCCAGAAGCATGTTGGCTTGATCACCTGAAATATGAATGCTTACAATACAATTCCCATATTTCCCTCATGTGCAGTCCTCCACTAAATCTTAGTAACATTTTAAAAGTATTTTTGCATTTTAAATATATGAATTAATCCATTTTCCACACTGATCTTCTACAGATGGTTACATGGTGTAGGCAGATGCCAGGGCACTTTGCCTATGCCCTTCACTCATGAAACACCATGTGACACTGTGTCAGTGAAGTACAAGCTCAGGTTAAGCACAGGACTCAGTCTCAGCTTTTGGGAGCGGATGCCCAGGTCTGTTGCATTGACATGACAGGAATTATTCAAAAGCTAAATGCTTGGAACCATTACAGGATAATGTGGATATTGGCCACATATCCAGCTGTGTTTAGGCCTTGATTTATAACTGCATTGTGAGTCCACAGTACGATTCCACATTTAGGGTTTAGTTCCTTTTCTCAGGCATCTGCTTTAAAAGGTGGAGCAGAGCAAGGACTATTGGATAGGTACCACCTCCATTAGATGTATCCTTTTTATTTCACTCATTCAGTGAAACTATGGACTTGCTTTCCTTTTTCTTATCAAATCTTGAGACTTTTTTAACCAGATGTCTCCTCATTGGGAGGAAGAACACATCACAGGCAAGAAATAGTTCTTCTGTTACCATCACAGAAATGTTACTTCAGTAATTTTTCCTTCTTTACAAGCATGAAGTACTTGTATATTCACTAACAAGCTGCAGCCAATTCTCTTTTCATCCTGATGTACAGGATATATAAATGCATAGCCCTGAAATGAAGGCTTGGCCTCATTCCAGCTGAGACTAAACACTGGGTATCTGCATCACCATGGCAGAAAATTCCAAGCTCTGCACTGCCCTGACAAGGACAGGATATAGTCCATCCAAAGGATGCTTTCCATACTTAGGGGCTGCCTGTACAATTATGCTGTCAGATAAGCCTTGTATTTGAAGATCACACCCATCTGTCATTTTCAGGCAATAGGAGACTCCCAGCATGCCTTGTACTACTCAGCACTGAAGCTGTACAAGCACTTTGTATAAACCTTCATTACTTGGCACAGACTTCAAAATTGAAAAGGCAGAAACACAATTATTTAATTTCATTGCCCAAAAGACATATTTTTCTCCTATGTATTTATTTCAAAGGCTGACAGAAGAACCTATTCTGCATTATTAGAATTAGAAAAAGGCATAAATACAAAAGAAACCCTAAGCAAATTACTTCTTAACTTTGAATGAAAATCATTAAACAGTGGTTGTTAAAGTCAAAGAACAAATTGCTGGTACAAAGGCAGAGTGAATTCTATTTGGCTCCTTTTGGACTTTTATTCCACTCTGGTTTTTGAAATCAAGAGCTTCCCTCATTTAACAACAGGACAAAGGTAGAGAAATTCCAAGACCCTGTGAGATATTTACTCAATCCCAGAGGTAATATTCCCTGCACCCCACCCACTCCTTCACAACACTGAGAAACCCTGGCAGCAACAGATCACATTTGCACTGACAAGAAATAACTCAAGTTAAAAGCAACTCACGTGGTCTTCTTCTGTATGTGCTGCTTAAAGAAAAGCAAATTTTTTATGGCTCATGTTCCTTCAAATGTTTTACCTAAGCTTTGTGGTTAGGCATTTCCTCTTGTCTACTATGCTTGTCAAATCTTTTAGTTACTTTTAGCCACAAGATAAGCCTCAACATTTTTCTTTGCAACATCAGTTAATGAATTCTTTTCCAAAACAACTATGAAACACTTCTTGCTAAAATTCTGGCTTCAGACCTAATAATTTTTATGAATAGATACTGTAAAACCTCACCTGGAATGATCACTTTGGACAAAGCAGGTCTTAGTGATACTGAATTTTTGACAAACTAACCTTCCAGATGAACTTTCTTGATTTCTCTCTCGATAATGTGTGGCTCTCCCTCAATTACTTTAGTAACCTTGGTGTACTCAGTTCCAGCTATGGTAAGCATCAAAAACAAATGAGTTAAATCTGGCATAGCATTTTTCCATGTGCAAGGAGCCCTCAGTGGAAACAATGTCATTTTTGGGCATAGGTGTTGCAGGCTACCATGCTATTCATGCCATAAAGCATGTTACTTCTAGTGATGAGTCATTCATTGCAATCTTGGTTTAAAGTTCTGCTTCAGCAATGACTAATAATTTTAAGCAGTTCTGGATGTTTCATGAGCAGAATTAAAGCCCATATGAAATCATTCCTTTATTTAGACAGCGATAATAAGTATTTTTGTGTCAGTACTCAAATTCAAATGATTAGGAAATTTTCGGTAAAAAATAATTTTATGTAGACAAGAGGGCCATAAAGCATTATCACCAACAACCCTAAAACAGCATATGTGTCTGCTTTTATTGACTAAATGTATAGTAAGGTATTATCATGGCAGCCAAGGGTAACTGACTGGATAAATCATGGAAAAGATAGAGGAAAATCAAATTAAAGAAAAAGACAAATCTACCTACTTGGTCCATTCTGTAAAGCAGGATGCTTATGCAAACTAACATATAATAGCAAGGGAAAGAGCAAGAATTCAAGAGATTATATAGTCTTCAAATTTTCTAGAAAGAAACTATCTCTTTTCCATACACCTATTCGCACCTCTAGAGATTACACCTATCTAATCGTAAACCTCTGTATCTGAAGGTGATTACAAGAACAGTTATAATTGTTCAATTCTGGTATCTGACCAGAATTCTACAGATAAAATTTGATCCTGATTCCTGTTGACTGGTTTAAAGCCATAGTGCAGTATATACAGGAAATTTCTTACTGAAATTTTTTAATTTTCAGCTTTTCTTTTAAATAGTCAATCCAGAAATAGGCATCTCCAGAGAGCAAAGCTTTTCACATAGCTGGGATGCTTAGGACAAAATGAAAAGCCCTGTGGAAGTTTCTCTTTCTGTCCAACATTATAGGTGAATTCTGGCTTATGTCTGTAAAACTAAGATTCAGATATTTGAAATAGACAGAATTACGGTCATAGTCATACCTTGGCTTTTCTCTAAGACTAGCTATGTTATAAACTAGCATATTTAAGTTTGGTGGTCAGCTGTTCAGCTGTTCAGCCAACAGGAAATTTTTTACTTGACTGAAGCTTAAGTCACATCCACAATAGTGCTTTTGAAAGACAATGCGATTTAGTTCAGTGAACTAAATGGGGCTGTAAGTTACTTTCCTGGAATACAACTTTGTAACTGACTGAAAAGTGAACATAAAATTAAATGGATTGATTTAATTTATGTCAAGAGAAGCATCCATCCATATTTTTGAGGCTCTGACTCAGGATTAAACTAACATTTACAAAAACCGTATCACTTAAATTCTTTTTTTATTACCCATTGCTATTATAGATAGTTTCTCTAATCTACGTTAAGCAGAGAACATTCCAAATTCATAGATAAAGATTAATTTCATAAGCAGAAGTTCTTTCACTATTTTCTACAGCTACTGGTTATGTACTGCCAAAACTGTTAGAATGAAGAGAGCAAGAAGGAAAGATAACCATTCCTTGGAATGCTGTATTTGAAGAGAATTAAAGTTAATGTCTGGATATCCATCACCTGTAAGCATTTAAAGATGTTAAACATGCCTTTAATTATTAACTTGAGGGCAATGAACATTCATTTCTGAAGAACTGATAAGTAAGATGAATTTGGCCAGTTACAATATGTTCTATTTCATAGTGTTTTTCACAGATTTAAATTTGCTAAAAAATATTGAATAAATCTTCATTGCTCCCGCGGGTTTTAATTCAGTAACCTTTTAAAGACTGAAAAAACCAAAATATTTTTTTTTTCCTGTGATCAATGGCATGAAAAAATTGATTACTCAAGCTTTGGTTCTTACTGCCATTTCACAGATATCTGGCACTAGAATATAGTGTTCTATTTTTTTCCATTAAAATTCCACTTCTATTACATCAGTCTTTAAAATGTTAATTTCAACATATCTGAGAGGGGTTCAGTTATCATGACCTGTTGCAAAATTGTTAGTTATAATTCTCTGAATTACCTCCCTGCAGAAGTCTTTTGATTTCTTCATCTTCCAGTAAATGACCATCACCTTCAATAAATTTGGTCACTTTGGTAACCTCTGATAGGATACAGGTTATGGCAAAAGAGTTGATTTACAGAAAACATTTGGCAGTCCCACAAGAGCATATATAATCATGTCATAGCATTGTTCTGAATTTAAAAATTCATGTTATGTTATCAAATTTCACATAAACACTGGAAACATCATAATATATGACAAACATAGCATGCTATATGTTAGACCCAGGCAGCTTCAGCTCTAGAGCGCACTGAAATATGAAGATCAAGGACTCAAATCAGAATTTTACATTTGAAGGGTTCTGAGGGTTAATCTCTGGGTAAGATTTTGCAGAATGAACATAAATTCTTTAAACATGGAATACCCACTCAGTAATTACTTAAGTTACATATAGATATATACATGTTAAAGAAATGAAATAAAACAAGCATGCTAACCTTCTTCAAGGATTTTCTTTAACTTCTCTTCATTGTCTGAACCTCCTGCAGTAATTCTGGTATATTTTATTTCAGGTCCTGGAAGAAATTTTATAAGATAGTGGCTTTTATCAGATATAACAGGGTTGTCATTTAAATTATATTTTCCTATTTCATTCCTATGGTGATTCCATAGTTAACATGCTATAGTCTGGTTATGTGGTAACTTTATTTTTTACCATTTCTGAAATTAAACTGAATGAGCATTAAAAACAGTAGTTAGGAGTAGTCCTGAAAGTAATTAGGCAAATTTGTCATAATTAGAAAAATTATCTGCTTACATTCTTAGAGTAAGATATGATTTTAAACTCTGTTGTATTAGATCATAAATCAGATATTTCTGCAGTCCATTATTAGTCTGAATTGACTGTTGCAAATAGACATTTTTGCTTTTATTATTGCTATGAATAATTTGAAGACTTAATATTTGAGATTCCTTATCAGTTTCTACAGATTGAAAATGAGATACAGGTCCGAAATTCTGGCATTTTACATTCTATTTACCATTTCACATGGGATATTAGTGAAACTTGAATCTGAGAATTGAGAAAATTATATTATATTTGTCTCCCCTACAATTTTTTGCCAGAAAATAGTCCCAGGTTTATTCCTAAATCACTAATGCCTGTCATTCAGTTATTTTCATTGTAGTAAAAAGTTGTATGATAGTAACTTTAGCATGATTTTTTATTTCTGCCTTTCTCAAATTATTTTGGTTGAATCTCAATATTTTCTAAATAAACTGATTATTAGGACTTGCAGCTAAGTCAAAATGTTGTTATAATAGTGTCTTTTCCTTACAAGCTCTCTAGCAGACAGAATTTTAATGGCAGCATTCAAACTGATATTTACACAAGGTGATCAAAAGTGTCTACAGAGAACTCCATGTATCACCTCCTATGCTTAAATATGCCTCGCTTCACTTATCAATTTCTAGGATGCTTAAAGAAATAGCTCTGTAATAGGTCAAATACAATAGAAATTGGCCAAGGAATTTGGGACCTTTTGTATGAGAAAATCCAGGGATGCAGGTGCATATTGATTTTATCTTACATCAGCTTTATCCAAGTGTCTAACTTGTGGATGTCAGGTCTAGTCGCCACTTTACAGAGAAATAGAGACCATTTTCTGAAATGGCTGTCAAGAGAGCTTGGGATGACATGGAAAAGTAGGCATCTACACATTAAACATCTGTGTTTGGTAAAATGAAACCTTCCTGGAGGTATATAGTCCAGAAGTTCAGAAAAAAGAAAAAAATTTCCTTCTAAAGCAAAGCAGACTACAAAAATGCAATAAAAGCAATCTTATTCTGAAATGGTAGCGAGAAGCTAGCAGAAGTAGACACTTACCAAAATATGAAAATAAGAACAAAAATAGAAGGCAAATATCCATAGTTTTGCATGCTGTTAAAATATTGTTGCCATTTATGTATATGTGTGTGCAGGACACATGGCCAGCTTTAAAGAGACAGTGGGAAGTATTAGGGAAAACTCATCTGTCAAGGAAATGCAGTTGAGGCACTAGGATAGAATTTAAGATATGTTACTTTTGTATGCAAAGGTGGACTTTACTAAGAATTAATATCTCAGCTTAATTTACCTTGAATAATTCTTTCTTCTGTTACTTTTCTCTCTGTCACTTCCACAGGTCGTCCATCAATGATTTTGGTGTATGTTTTAATAATTGGTTCTACAAGGATTTTTAAATTCAAGGCATTAATCAAGTGATGAACTTTCAAGTGCTCTTTTTGAGATGTGGAAACTGACTGAAGCGTGGAAGGAAATACCATAGAATATTTTATGAAAAATAAAAATGTTCAGAGATAAGAAACTAAATCTACTCAAAGTTTAGGATGATTGTGTGATTTTTCCTTTAAAACCATCCTACATGTGAACATCTCAATGCCCTTAGCAAAGAGAAGGCAAGATTTCTGACAAAATTGCCTTTTAATTACAGAATCACATACTACATATTTGATTTCAGGACAGCAATGAGCAAGCAATTCTTGACTGATATATTTGTCAGCATGCAGAGTACTTCTAAACTGCCTTGACTGAATCTATGGAACACACAAGTAGGGGAAAAAACCTCAATTTGTTGAAATGCATGAGAATTTTAAAGTATATGATGCAATAAAATTGCAGCACTTCACAAAGGTCTTGTTAAAACAGAACAGCTGTCTAACATTAATTACCTAGATAAAGTAAAAACTGATGGGGAATAGAGAATGCTATTGCAAATTGAGTTGTTGAACGCATACCAACCTCCATGAATCACTTTAGTTATTGTCTCCCCTTCCCTGACTATTTTGAACTCAGGTTCCCCTTCAATTAATTTAGTGAGCTGTGTGATAGATGGGTCTGTGACATAGGAAAAAAAACAACAAGTTACAAATAGTTATAAAATACTTGTAGTATTCCATGGGGGTGAGATGAAGCTTGCATTTTCTCCCCTTACCCTAGATAAATCATATTATTGTTATAGAGGGCAGTTTAAATCTGAGAGATTATTTGTGGCAACATTTACAGTCTTGTATTTTCTTACAGAAGATCTTAAACAAAGATCCTGTCGTACACTTAGTCTTTATTTATTTTGTGTATATGATATTTTTAACATTTGTTGACATATTCCAGGCAATAAACCAGATCATCAGCAGCGGAAAAGAAGTCTTTTTCTATATATATTGGTAAGAAGGTTACTCTACATCTTTGCAGATATCTTACAGCTATTGTTCCACTAGTGGTCAGCATGCAATCTACAAAGCTTTTAGTTTTTTAGTTATTTTTATTATTTGTTGCTTTGGAGTTCCTTTTATTTTTTGCTTTGAGGTTTTTTTACATGGCTTTTTTTCCCTTTGTATTTAAGACTTGGCCAGTGGTTACGCAGCTTAAAAAAACGAAACAAGCAAAAAGCAAACTTTTGAGATCAGCAGGAATGGCTGTGAGGATATTTATCAGCATTACTGGCTATCATTATCATGGGTGAGGTAATTTTGATTACACCGATCCAAATGTATCTCTGCCTGACATGCTAAAGCAGAAGATACTAGATAAATTAGGAACATACCATCAATTAGCACTCTCTAATGAGTGTTGTGGGACTCCTTTTACTTAAGAAGTTGCTTTAAAACAAACTTTCTTTGCCCCTTATTCAAAGACAGAAACTTAGCATAATCCATCTTTTTTACTTTCCTTAAAAATCCCTTAAATATCTTTATATGGATTTTTGTAGAAGTTGATTTTTCATTGATTATTTTTTCCGTAATTACTGATCAGGATTTAACAACAGCTTTTAAAGATGTGTGGCTCCTGTTAATTGTTGCAAACAGTCAATATAGGTAACCTTCAATAATAAAAACCAAAAATGTTTTGGGTTGTTTTTCAGTAGCAAATGATTGCATCAATTAAAATTTAGAAATAAATAATTCAGATGAAATTATATGATAGAATCATAAAGATTCCCTGTTATTATAGACCCCTATTAATTTACTCTGAGTTATAAGGAACAAGCCCTCACTTCTTTTATTTTTAGTAGGTCTGAATGCAAAATATTTATAAATATTTTAAAGTAACTGCCTTACAAGACTCATTCCCTTCTGTTTTAAACCTGGAGGATTTTTTTGCATGTTGAGAATCTATTAAATAGCAGTTGACAGGGATAAAAGTGATTAATATAAATGAAATAATGTAAAAGTTGTATTTATGAATATTTATAAATGCTTTATTTTTACTTTTCTCAATAACTGTACCTTTTCATATGATTGATACAGCAGATGTGTGCAAACCAAAAAGTGAAGGCATAGCCAGCTATATTGCCTAGTCTAGGATCAATCCTAGATCCTTTGAATATTTTATCTTTTAAAATTTGAGTTTCAGTCAGATTTAACTCTACATCTGTTTAATCTTTTAGATCCCATACATGCCCAAGTACAAAAAATGGAAGAACAACACAAGCAGAAAACACTGAGACAGGAGAAGGCACACATCCCCCTCTAAACTTGGTGGGGAGAGATGTAATTATTTTTAGTGGAAATTGCCCTTGCATCATGATCTAATAGAACTGCCGGACAAAATTAGCATTTAACTTTGCCAGCTTTTATTTACAGACTGTTGTGGATTTACGTGGTTCTGATGGCATCTGCCACTCATTACTGTTACTGAGAAAGTTCAGAAAGGACAGAATTGGTTTTATTTGGTCTATATCTGAAGCAATTGTCAGCAGAAAGGCTGCACTGGCCAGAGATCTTTTCCTGGAGTGTGTCCCAAAGCAGAAATACTGTACTGGAAATGGAAAGGAGTAGCCTTTCAATACTCACTAACTTTTTTTTTCTCTATCTGGTGACTAAAATTTAGTTCTAAATTTGACTATACAAGTGCTCAGACTTTTAATATTTCATGAAATATTTCAAAAATATTTCATTTTTTCACTTTCATTTTTTCTTTAAAAGACAATTTTATTTCAGTTAATTTTCAACTTCTAAACATTCTGTTAATGACCTAAACCCTATACTCTGTCTCTGGGTTTAACAGAGGAGAAGAGGTACTTTCAGAGAGTGATTCAGCCTCACCATAGCAAGATTTCTAAAATAGCTTGGATGAATCACCATATGAAATAATCTATCCATTTATATTGCGCTGTGGATCTGATTTAATGATGGAGACTAGGCACCACAGATCAACATATATGTTAAATGGCCTCTAATCTTAAATGTTATGAAGCACAGACATGTTCCTGAGAAAGTAAGCATTTGTCACTTCTTCTGGAAGGAAATCCTCCCAGAAACACTGATTAAGCAGTCTGGATAAAATTCTTTGCATGACATTTTTAACTGCCTTTCTCAGTTGAGAGAAAACAAATTCCCTTTCAGCATTTTTATTTCAATGGGAAACTGGATCTCATCAGCTTTACTTAAGTTATAAATCACAAGTGATTTTAGCAGTCCCATCCCCATATTTTTTTCTCTTTAGTCCCATCACTAATCTTTAAGTCATGCTTCTGAATGGAGAAATAAAAAAAGCTAAAAATTGCGTAGATATTTTCAGGCATCCAACAGATATTGGTAGTTAGAACTGATTGAAAATTATAGCAAAATTAACCATTTTTTTTCTTCGAAGTGTAAGAAACATATCTACTTTAAAATATCTGTTTTAATTAGAAAAAAGGGAATGTCTTAATTGGAAAAAAAAAGATGATAAAATAAATGGTTTAAAAAATATTATTAAAGATATTTTTAAACACCCATAGAAAAAGGAGAAAACTCATTTGGGGAGAAAAACCATGGGTAATCTTTTCATACAAAATATTTCAGTCAGTTCTAATTGCAATATTTGTATCTTTGCTTTTCCAGCAAAGTACTTAGCATCCTGGAGTTGCTGGGTATAAAATGCATTCCATTAAAGAAATATATTCAAGGTATATTCTGAATATGTATATGAACATATGCAGAAATATATATACCACAGGCCTCATTTACCTTCCTTTGTGATGATAGGCTGGACGTTGCTTTCAATTATGTTAATTTCTGAAAATATAGAAAGTGGAATATACAGTGCATTCCATTCTTACAATTTCTTTGAGGCAACCATCAGTTAGATTTGGTCTGCTCATGAGGATGTGGATAAAATCATAGATATTAATGGGTGGAAGAGCAACAGAAAAGGATCTAGAGTCTGAATCTTGGTCCTGGTTATGAAATGGTGATCGACTCAGGTCACCTGCAGACAGAATCTACTGATATGGTATTTGCCTTTTATGAAACCCATGGGTCATGGTACACGTGATGATGTATGGTACAGAATAGAGAGGGCTTGTACAATTACCCACACAAAATTTTGCACAATTCCCTGACATGCCTGATGCCTAAATATTGCCCTTTTCATTTAGGAGTTGATCAGGCACACACAGGAAACATTTAGAACTATAGGTAGAGCATCACAGAACACTTGCCCTTGGAAGATCAAGTTGTCCACCCAGGACAGATTCAAGTATTCACTGATAGTGATTTGATTCATACTCATCCACTGGAGAAGCCCACACTATAGGGGTTCCAGCCTTCCCAGTCTTTCACTCAACTGAATCTACAGCTGCAGCTTTCTAGGTGTCCACATTGACCTCTCTAGCTTAATTTTTGCAGGCACTGCTTCCTGTGCTACTCTCACTGGCCTTGGGAGGTAGAATCATAGAATATCTCAAGTTGGAAGAGACACATAGGGATCATAAAGTCCTTCTTCTCCAAGGAGAAGACCAAGCCATATGACCAAGGGTGCTGTCCAGAAGCTCCTTAAACTCTGTCAGGCTTGGTGCTGTGACCACTTTCCTGAGGATCGTGTTACATTTACTGACCACCCTATGGGTAAAGAACCTTTTCCTAACGTCCCATCTGAATTTTCCCAAAGCCGCTCCATTCCATTTCCTCGTGTCCTGTCATTGGTCACCATAAAACAGACCAGCACGCCCCTTCCACTGCCCTTCTTGGGGAAGGCGTGGGTTGAGATTGGGTCACTGCTCAGCAATGAGGTCACCTCTCTGCCTTCTCTTATCCAAAATGAACAAGCCAAATGACCTCATCAACTCCTCAAAGTCTTGACTTCAAAACCTTTCAAGACCTTTCACCATCTTCATCACCCTCCTCTGGACACCGGGCCCACAACTGGCTCCCAAAACTGTCCCAGCACTCGAGGTGAGGCCGCCCCAGTGCAGAGGAGAGTGGGACAATTCCCCTCCCTTGCCCAACTGGCCATGCTGGGCCTGATGCACCCAGAACATGGTTGGCTGCTTTGGCTGCTGGGGCACTGTTGATTCATATTCAACTTGTCATCAAGGTGAATTACTCTATTTTTTGTTCCAAGGGGTTTTAACTTTAGAATGTCCATTCCCAATTTTCAAAAGTCTGATGGGATGGTCTCACTTTATACTGTAAAATATGGGTAGGACTCCATCAGAATTTAATAATTTGTCTAAATTCATCTTGCCTCACAAGGTTACAGTAGGAACTTTGTCTTCCAACAGCTTGTTTCAACACATACTCTATAATAAGAAATTAAATGCTCATCCTGAGAAAGGTTGCGAGGGATCTAAAAGGGGTATTTTTTTACATATACTCCCTAAAGAGATAATATTCTGAACAACTGTCTCCCATTCAAGCCTCATATTTGCACATATGGGAAACAGGGTCAAGAGGTACACTCTGTCCCTCTGGAAATATTTATGGAAAAAAAAGTATCTCAGCACAAAAACAATGCTGCATCCTGGAAAGTACAGTACAATGCTACATCTTAGAGAGAGATACAACTCTGTTATGCACCAAGCGCTGAACCTTGGCTAAAAGTTGAAAAACAATCTTTTCCATATGTATCTTGTCTACCCCAAGAGTTTAAACAGCTTACTTCAGGGTTACTTTCCAGTCACACATCTGGAAAGGGAAAAATACAGTAGCACAGCAGCCAGAAACATTCTACTTTGAGTCTTTCCCTTCCTTTTCTTCATTGGCACATCTTACTTTCCCAGAAATTGCTTTCTTCTTTATTGAAAAAGAGATGCACAATTCCAAATTGGAATTGGCACCACTTAAAAAGCAATATTCAACTCATCTGGAAGTATTTAAAATGAACTTACTGTAAAATGTCAGTGGAATCTCTTTGAAGGTACTGTCACGAACAAACTATAAAAACAGAAAAGCAATTTATTTAAATATTTTTAAAAGTAGCATTTGCCTTACAGTTTCCTAGTGAGTGTGGGTAGGATTCATTGCTTCATTGACCTAGTAAGGTCAATTCACTGCTTCATTGACTTTTTCTTCCTAGTAAAAGTCTAGGAAAATTTGTCTAGGTTCTCTCATTCATTGTTGAGGGAGAATGCAATCTCAAGAGGGTACCTGAGAGAGACAAGGATGCCTACTTTTCTTCACAGGTTATTGATGCTGCTGGCTTTAATGGCATAAGAATTTAGTCATTCAGTATTTTTTTCAAATAAGTGATTTGTTTTCAAGAGTGAAAAAGTGAACTAAAGAGCAGATTTGGGCCAATTCACACTGTTGTTATCCAAGTACAAATATTTTCCAATAATTTGGCATTGAAAAACATAACTGTTGAGTGCAGGATATCATTCATGATTATATTTGGGTAACTGGGAGCTACTGGATGTGTCTGCTGAAGAAAGAAAGGACCAGAGAATCATTTATGACTTATAATGTGCTCAGTTTCATAGATCCTGCCAGAAAGACAGAGGGATAATTACTAAAAGAATACCTTAATTTGAATGTATTTAATCAACTTCTTCAGTATGGTGAGCAGCTGATCATTTCCAACCGGCAGTTCTGACAAAAGAAGCAGGCACATAAGAGGAAATGTGCAACTGTGTGCATTTTACTTTGATTTACAATGATCAGGAGATGCAGTCATTCTCAAACACTCACACAGGCATGTACTTGATATATATTATTCTATATCAGCAGAAAAGGTAGTCTTTGGCTAGTCTTGCCTGTCATATACTTTACTTTCATAGAATTTCAAAGTCTTGCTAAGGTTTTAACCAAGGTTCTTCCACAAAATGAACATTGAGGTAAATTTTCTGTTTCAAATTCCACATAGGAATTGTATCTTTAAATTGATTCCTTTTTTAAAGTTATTGCAGTTACTGAGCATGTAAACAGATTTAAAAGAGTGGGTACAAATTTCACGAAATAATACTCACCTGCTGGGTAGAGGAGTTTGTCAATGACATGAATGACACCATTTGTTGCCATGAGATCAGATTCTCTTGATTTCAGTTCATTAACCAGAAGAGTATCATTTACCTGGTAAAGGATCAAAAGAGAACCCAAGTTATCAGGAACATTAGACAACAACATCAAATCCTATTGTAACATTTGGAGAAATGCATGCCATTCTATAATGTGGATAGACATGGAATATCAAATCTCTCTTACAAGGATGTAGCAGAGAGAGATTTTCTATACTTAACTGTTTTCAAGTAGAGTTTGCCTCCTTGGATGGTTTTAAGAATATTTGTTACACCAGGCTCAAAGCCACTTCCAATGAAAACTCCTTGTGTCAAGTGGTAAAGAAGAATATTCCTGAGAGCGTTTTTGTCCCCTATGTAAAAATAAAAAAGTTGGAATAAAATTAAATGGTAGAGGGTTGTTCTTTGTGGAAATGCTAAGGATTCACATACACTTGAGCTAGATCTAAACATAATATGTGTGAAAGTACTATGAACTTCTACCACTTCCTAGATAAATGGCAATTTGAATTTGTTAAAATGATGACAAAGGAAAAAAGCCCAACTATATGACAAAAAGGTACTCAGAACATAATCACAAAGATCCTATGAGAAATCTTCTACAAAAAACATAAAAGGGGTCAATGGAGCAATTAGCTTTGCTGAGTTTGTTCTTATAGAGGACAGAAGCAGCTTGGAGAAGTCAGGCAAGGGGAGACGATCCTATTTTAGGGAAGATTTCCATATTTCAAAGTTTAACATTCCTATGTGGGATGAAAAGGAAAAAAAAATCCAATATTTTCAAGACTGTCTCACGTTAATATCCTGATAGGGCTGTGTATGGAGGTTGAGAGTTATAGGATGGGATGCAGAAAAACCATAACATGCCCAGGAGACAAGGTATCAAGCAGAGAAACTTTAAAACACATATGTTTGCCATTACATGGAATATTGACCATTAATACTAGAATTACATGCTGATAGTAGTTGTTATTAGGAGTTCCAGCCTTGGTGAAACTGCAATGGGAATCTTGTCAGGTTATATTCTTTTCCTGATGTCTCTTTCAGTGAAAATTTTCTAGTTTTTCCCCATGTTTTGCTCTGATCACTGACACTACTGCAATTTACTTCACTACTGAAATGCAATTAATTGTCTTCCTCTTCCCAGTAAAATTAGCACTGATATTTTGTCACTGGGCCATTCATGGGTAGCATTAAGTTCCATAAGAGGCCTAAAAATGGCCACTCCAAAGGTTTTTGCAAAAACTATCAGATTACTTTTGTAACTATGCCACTATAGTTACTGGTGAAAATAATCCTTGGTTTGTATCTTTCTTATAGATAAAAAAATTATGAGGACCAAGGAAAGCACTAAGTAACTGAGTCACAAGGATAGAAAAAAATGATGCATTAAGCCCCTGGAAATGCAGAAGGGCAAATAAAATTGTCTTGTTAGCTGCAGAACTAGTCCAATATGGCATTGGACTTCGACAACCTCAAGTTCTGAATTGAAGACAAAAATAATGGAAGGAAGCAACACTATGGAATAAGATATTGAGGAGTGAAATTGAAATTTAAATGTCAGGTTGGAAGTTTTTTTCCAAAAAGACATTTTCTCTGTGCCCCAGAAGGAAATAATTAAGTGGATTCCTATGACCTGCTGTATGCAAAATGTAAACTGCTTCAGCATACAGCTTTGGTGTGACAGGTGCATTAGTCTCCTTTCCAATAAATTTTAATTTGCTCATAATTCCAGGGTTTTTTCGGTCACTTACTTATCAGTATGTCCTTGTCATCATCAGTCAAACCTTTAAAGGCATCATTAGTTGGGACAAACAGAGTCCACTGTCCAGGCTGTGACAGAACATCATCCAAATCTGCAGCTTTCACCAGACTGAGGAAAATGCTGTTTACAGTAAACAGACAAACCACAAATACGTGTCATTGAAATATGGTATAATTTGGTCCAGGTACTTAGTTCTACCATTTTTTTTTCCCAATAGTGTTTCAAGTTTCAAACACTTTCACTATTTCCCAGAAATAAAGATAGTGGAAGAGGAAAATGAGAAAAAAAAAAAAAAAGAAAAAAAAAAGGAAAAAAAGGAAAAAGCAGTCTTAAAAGTAGCAGACAGAGGAAAAATTATTTGAAAAAAAAAAAAACCACAGCTGGAATCAGATGGATTTGTCAAATACAAACCCTTGCAGATCGAACAGATAAAAGGAGGATGCAAAGGATTGTTCTTGCTCTAGGAGAATTGAGATTCTTGCAGGAAAGGGACAGAAATAAGTACTGGAAAGGTATGCAATCCTGCTGTACCCATATGTAATTGTATCATTCATTAATTAAAACTCCAGAGACCATTGCATTTGTAGCTCTGGATGTATCACTCAGTTCCTTCTGTCCTGTTACTCCTCTCATTCTAGTGTCTTACAACCCTTTGTGCCATAAAAAACCATTCTAGCACTGAGTGTCGAAGCCTTTTCAGCATACAGCTGGAGAAATTTCTCTTCCCCCACATTTTTCTTTCCTTTTATTTTATTTGTGTAGTTAATAAACCCTTCTCTGCCATCCCCGCTCTCAAAGCCCCAACAATTCACATGCTCACAGTCCAAAACTTTTTGTCAGACCAGCTGTGCTGTATATACCCTCTGCAGGAAAATCTCAGTTCTGTCAGTATTGCTACTCACCTAAAACGCTTATCATTTCTCAGCATTTCATGCAAAGTCTTTTCTGCTGGATTGATGATCTGTCTGAAGATGTGAATAAAACCATTTCTTCCTTCTTTGCTTCCTCTGACCATGCATGAATTTTCAATACATACAGCCTTATTGAAAGAGAAACAAACGTAGCTGTTTACACAATGCTAAAAATAACAACCATATGTATTTCCTACAGTCAAATTGTGTGGTCTTGCCAGGAAATTTGGCATTGCTTGAGTAAGCAGAAACAGCAAAATCTATAATAAAATAGCATGGTGCAAATATTCTAACACTTGATTTTTGTGTGTGTTTTCCCTTGAGAATGTTTTTATTTAGTTTTAAAAACAAGTTTTAAAAATTTGCAACTAACTAAACACCCACTTTGAAATTTTGTTGCATTTTCCCAGAGTTCTCCACACAGACAAAGCTCAGATTAAGATCAGATTTTTATTTTTTGCTATCTTAAAAGTTGAAGGATTTTTGCTAGATAGTCATAATGGCAAATGTCGGGGTTTCATTCAGCTTTGCCTTTTATTAACTTCCATTTTCGTAGTTGGATGCATATTTTTAGAAAGACTCATTCACTTACTGTGCGATACACGAAGACTCTAAGTAGTTTTCCTCCAATTGTTTCCAGCTCTTGCCCATTGTACAGTTCATTGAGCCCAATTTTCACTTTTATAATGTGATTCTGCAGGATTCTTTTAAGAAGACGTTGATCCAGCCTTAAGGTGTCATCTACAAAGCAAATTAGATATTCATATACAGTAATTTATATATTGAGTTTTTATTCAAATATAGTCAAAAGAATCTGGAAATACTGAATCTTTCTTTGAAATGCTTGAATTAAAGCATGGACAGGTCTGTGTATACAGAAGACAAGTTGTTTTGACCATTCCTCAAATTCAGTCAAGAACTATTGACACAGCCATGATTAATTACTATAACTAATATGTCTGATGGTTTAAAGGTGGGCCTGCTCCATCTTCTGAATTAATGCTATATTTTGTATTAGAACTAGTCCTTTCCACATGTGCACCTAAAATCTATCCAAATTTTCTTCCTTAGTAATAAGACTACACTCTAATTCTTTGAGAAAAGGCAAGATATCCATGCAGTCACCTCCACAAATATACAAACACCTGTTTTACGGTACATTTGTGTCAGTTTCCCTCTGCTTTGATGTACTGAGAAATAATAACTTTCTTGTATTTCCTGAATTTAACTGGGATAGATTAAAATTTCCTCCCAGCAGGTATATTTTCACAGTGCTGTCTTTTGGGTTTAGTATGAGTGTAATGTTGATAACACACTGATATTTTGGTTCTTGCTGAGCAGTGCTCACCTCGAGCCAAGGACATCTCAGTGTCTCATGCTCTGTGAGTGGCCAGTGCACGAGAGGCTGGGAGGATCATGTCCAGGACAGGTGACCCAAACTGGCCAGAGGGATATTCCATACCATAAAATGTTGTGCTCAGTATATAAACTGGGGGAACCTGGCTGGGAGGTGTCAGTCAATGGCTGGGCATAGGTCAGGGTAATTGTATCATGCATCACCTGTTTCTCTTAGGCTTTAATCATACTTTAAAGAATTATTATTAGCATTAGCATTAGCATTAGCATTAGCATTAGTATTAGTATTGGTATTAGTATTAGTATTAGTATTCTATTAATATTATTAATATTATTATCATTTTACTTTGTTAAAGTTATCAAATTGTTCTTATCTAAGCCTATGAGGTTTTATTACACTTTTTTCCCCTGATTCTCCTCCCCATCCCAGAGTGGGGGAAAGAGGGCAGTGATCAAGTGGATGTGTGATATTTAGCTGTTGGCTGGAATGAAACTACTGCATACATTTTCTGAGAATAAATAAATTTTGAATCTAATGGAAGTAATGTAAGACTGAGGAAACTGGGAGTTTATTAATATCTTTCCATTCTTACAATCTTTCTGTGTATTTTTTGTATCTTTTGTTAGTGCTACTATTTTCATTAGCAAATGATATGAGTGAAAACAAGCTGTACAGTGTGGTGGTTAGGCTTGTTTTGTATTTCTACAAGGTAGGAATCTGAAAGGATGAAGTCGTTCTATTTCTCTGTGATGCTCTTGTGGTGAAACTTAGAACAAGTACTGGGGGTTATTTGGAAAACTGTCACATATATACTTGTTTATTTTGACAATCTTTTAGGGCTACTAACCTGAGAAAGCACCATTCAGAGGTGCCAGTAGAGTGTATTGGCCTTCTGGCCTTAGAGAAGATGCCAGCCCTAGCTGTGCCACCAGGTCCGTAAATGTAGTCTGCTGAGCACCCCCAAGCTCAATGACTTGTTTGGCTGCAAATAAAGAATTAAGAAAAGGTATTTTAACACACAAGATCTTCCTATTCCTGTTTTGGATTCTCCATGCTTATCCAGAACTACACATCTGAGGGAATCTGGATAAGGTTATTGAAAATATCTTCAGTTTTCCATACACATCACTGACCAGAATCAGGAATTAGCACTTGATCAATGAGGTGGATAACGCCATTGCTTCTCACAATATCTTTGCGTTTCACCATTTTCACTCCATTCACAGTCAGACTTTCACCATCACATCCAACTTCAACAGTGTTTCCTTCCAAGGTTTCATAGACAGCTCCCCCTGTGATGGCTTCAGAGCACTGGAGAGTATTTAATATATGGAACTTCACAAGAGCTGCAGAGAAAAGAGCAGGAATTTAACAGATGTAGGTGTTTGGACACATATACATATATGTATAATTTACATACACGATTTTAAATTAATTTCACTCAGATACTTTATTTAAATTTAATGATACTGTAGGTCTCTACATCACATTTTTGATCAAAACTATTTGGCATCCCTTATATTATTAAAAATGTATTGGTTATGCTACAATCTGCTTGTCACTGCATATGATATGCTCCAAAAGGACCTACGAGTACAAAACTCCATACGCTATGCAAAGGTATGGGAGAATTTAATATTCAGATAGCCCTGGATTTCTCGGGACAGGAATATCTATCAGACCTATGCAGCTGAACTATTAGAAAGTCAATGTGCTTATATTTTCACAGTTCCCTTTAAACTGTTTTGGAGATTAAGTTTTCAATGACTTTCTATCCTTAGGCAAGTGGAAACATTAGAGACAGAAGAAATAACTCCTCTTACACACATGAAAGCAGAGGTGCTTCATTCCAGAGCTATAAGGATAATGCATTTTCTGCCTCCTGATCAACTTATACATATTTCTCATTTGCAAAAAAGTTTAAATACCTTCAGAGGCCACCTTGTCACTCATGATTCTTTCTAAAACTCCCCTTGGAAGTTTCTCAAAAGCTTCATTAGTAGGAGCAAAGATTGTGTAATGACCAGGTCTTCCAAGAATATCCATGACACCTGATGTAATGGCAGGAGCCTAAAATAGAATTTTTTCTTTTAATGCTGATTATTTGAAATATTACCAAAATACATTATCTGTCTAATTTTACCTCATGCCTGCAGATATTTGGATGCTAGACTGAGATCAGTGTTTTAAAAAGATAGATAATGAATATTACAGAAAGATGAAAGAAATAATCAAGAAGAATGTTTTTAAACTGAAAACCAGAAAGTATTGTTTTTTATATAAAGTTTTTTTAAAGCTATTATATATTCTTGTTGCCTGTAACTGTCATGAACTCGATTTGAGGGATTCAGAGGATCTTTTCCACCTTTATGCCTTTCCATTTAAAATACCTTTTTGTATTTATTAAGGAGATGGAAGATGGAAAAGGACAACAGTTATCTGCAAAGCAATGGCATATTTTTTAAAATATGCAGCATGAAATCCCATTACACTGTGCAGACATATTTTTCAGAAGATGGAAAAACTAGAAACTTGGACAATTTTTAATCATGCTTCCTCTATGCAAGAAAAATCCTTCTTATGTGCATCTACTGACTCTGTGAGTTGGGTTCTGAAATTTATTTGGTGTCTTTACCATTTGTTATTATCCATTTTGAAATTGTTCTTATTCATCTAGCACCAGACTCTGTAACTTCATTCTCACATTTCATTTTCTCAGTGCTTGAAGAGAAGACACTTTTTAGGTACAAGGACACATTCCATCCTCTTGATGTTGCCTTTTTAAATAGCTAGGTTTGCAATATTACCTGAAGCTCTTAATTTAATTTATTTCTCTCTCTTACTGAGCTAACATCTCTTACTTCCAGGTATCATAAACAAATAAAAAAGAAATAAAAAACCCCCTCCTTAAATAAACAGAGAAGAGTTTTTATTTTTGTCCACTTACTCTAAATGATGAAAGCTCATCCTCAAATTCAATGAAATCTTGAATGGTATTTGCAACAGAAGTCACGACACGATCAATGACATGGACAACACCATTGGTAGCAATTTGGTTGCCATGGATGATCCTGGCACAGTTAACGGTAACAACCTGTATTTGAAGAATCAAGTAGTAGATTAAACACTAATTTGATCACAATCTTGGATACCTGACTCTCACAGACTGGCAATGTAGGTACTGTAAATTGTGTATTCACTGCTGTTATTACAATTATTTTTTTTCAAAATTTGAAGTAAAGCCTTGTAAGACTCGAAAGTTTGACTAAGCTTCTGGAAAGATAGCAGCAGATTTATTCAAGTTACATTGATATCATATTCATGTTTAATTTCTTACTGCCATTATTCTGATTTATTATCTGGCTAATATGTTGATTGTACTGTTTTTTCAGTGTTAAAGCCTGTAGACAAACAAACATTTTGATTCATTTAAGACCATAAAGATGAATGACTTGACTGGGAAGTTTCTAGCATTTATAATTTCTTCTTTTTTGCATAGGCAAATAATGGATGTGTGTTTCCTACAACTTTCAATGCTCCTACCATGCACTCAAATTCAAATGAAAGATCTGCTTTAATATTATTTAGCAATACTATAAAAATTAATAGTATATTTTGCTGTCAAATTTATTATGATCATGTATTTTGACCACAAAAGGCTTTGTCTTTTATGAAGAAAGTTCATTTTCATTTGCACTTTGATTTTTAAACAGCACAATCTTTACTTATCCTTTCTTAGTGATTAGCTACACAGCAGTCAAAAGTTCTTCAAGAGAATATTTATTTTTGTAGGTGGCAACTGACTTGGTGGATGGTAAAATTTTGATAATATATTTTCTTAGCTATATAAGGAAATAAAGGAATCAAATAAATAAATACATTAGGAGGAAAAAAGAGAATAGACTTACCCCATTAGGATAATGGTTAATAAACAATTTCTGGCCATTATACATAGACACCAGGGTCATGCCATTCTTAAGATCTTTTGTCAACATGCGCTTGTTTAACATGTGGTGGTGGAGAGAATTATACAGTTCAATATTTACATTGTCAACCAAATTCCTATGGGTTTCCTGAAGAAGAAAAGGAATTTAATTAATTACAAGCTTTAAAACTTCCTGCCACTCCGAAAGATGTATGTATTGTTTTAACTTAGTATGTGCTTTCAACATAATCAACATCTGTTAGGGCAGATAACTTTGATGCCTATAAATCTGGCTCTACTTAAATCATCTTTAAGTCTGATTTGCTCACAAATGGAAGATGAGTCTTCATCACAGTCAAATCATTGAAGGATCTTTAATTCAATGTTTATTCAACTAAAATCATTACTAAAAGAAGGACACGTGAATTTCTGACAGTGTACAGCCATACATCATGCAGCTGCTGAAATTCCTAGGAGTTTCCCTAGGAAACTATGTTAAATAAATTAACAATATTAATATGTGTCATGCAAGTGCTTAAGTAAGAAGCAATTACAGTTGCTTGGTACTCCTGAAAGTAAACCCAGCTTCTCTAGCTTCAGAAACGTACATTAAACATGTAGATTATTTCATTATTACCTGTATTGTGTACTTCTATGTCTAAAACTTGACATTGTTTCCAATCTAATTGTCCCACACTAGCTGCTTCAGCTAAAATGTTTAACTCACACACACGCACACAGACATGAAAAAGACAGCAGTCACTGAGAATTACACACACACTTACTGAATCTAACTGGTCCCAGGCTTCATTGCTTGGTGCAAAGAAAGTGAAAGATCCTCGTCCCTCAATCTCTTGTCTCAGCTTTGACATGTCAGAGTAGCGCTGTGTGGTGGTAGCTCCCACAATACCAAGGGTACCATATACATGATCAATTGGAGCAACTAAAACAAACACGAGGAAAGAACACTGTAAACTCTTCAGTTTATCACAATCAAATTTTCTTTCTGTCTTTTGGATGCATAATAATTCTGAAACTGTTTAAGTCAGAATTAAAAAATATGTTTAGGTTAAAAATTTCATTGTCAAAATATTCAAAAATCATCTAAGCACATCTGCTTGCTGCTGCTTTTTGTGATTTTCTTAATAAAAAATTAGATCAAACAATACTGAATTTTGTAAAGTTTCCTTTAGATCTACTGTATTTTGTATCAACTCAACATGAAGGAGGGAGTCTATCCCACAAAAACTTCAATGGAGTGGGTCTCATTCAGTCATGATGGACCAGAATTCCTTCTGTGAGGTCTCTTACTCTTCTTCCAGTGTCTGGTTTATGCTTATACTGATTCATCCAGAGAGTAAGAATGGCCATGGTCTCACAGTTAAAACATGGCTACATGAGAACAGCATTCATCTCTCTCAATTTTAGGCATCTACAAGTGAGATATTTGCATACAATCTAATAGTTCTTGGCTCTTTTTATGGTTATTGAGAAGAAAAGGTGATTCTAATGCGTGACTGATCCTAATGTCAGCATCTGAAGGGAGATTAGTTTATCTGAACAAACTGAACTCTGCATTATTGAACATAAAAGGATTACCTCAGTTACAGGCATCAAAAACTATGAAATGTATTTCTTCTCATACTACTCTTTTCTGCTGCAATTCGTTTTGTTTTTACAAAGCAGAATAGCATAAATAGGGGAGATGAAGAATTTCTGTCTTCATTTTCTCTCTTTCTTTGATAAAGGCTATAAGACTCTTTAGGTAGTTAGATTCAAGTTTTTCAGAAAAAGGAAAATACAGAATTTAGATATGCTCCACCCTGGGTCCTGGCTTTCTGACCACATTGATGTGCTTCAGACTAGTCTTGGATCTGATGGGAATAGGAATTAAAGCTCTTCTTTGGCAGCTTTGGGAACTGAAGACACTATCAATTCTCACCAATCCGGAATCTGGAAGGAGTTGGGAATTTCAACCTAAACTTTATGATCAAATTCAGCGCTAGGTAATTTTTAATTGTGCTTGCTGCATGGAAATGCTGCACGTTCTTAGGCTGTACTTCTTGTACTTCTTAAAAAGAGGCAATCATCTCTCATGCTGATCACCCTTGAAACTCTACTGTAGTTTTAATTCTTTCCATATGCCAACTTATCTATAAGAAAATAAGCTTATACCTGCAGGACATCCTCTTGTACCATCCATCTTCATATAGCCAGGACAGCACTCATATAGGACAGTTCTGTGGATTCAGACAAAAGCGCCATTAAATAATATACAGGAGAAATAAACTAATTTTAGCTAAGTCTAATTTTATTTCTATTATCAATTTTTCATTGCTAGAACATAATCTCCAGCATTTCAGCCTTTTTTTGTCATTCAGCCCTTTTTGTATTGATTACAAATTGGTCATATTTTACTGAATGTAAAGTTTTTGAATTTAAAGAATGACTGACATCATTAAAATAAAATCCTGGTCACAGGTTTGTGAAGGAAAAAGACAAATTTAAATTAACAGAATAGAAATTAAAATGACAATTGCATGAGGCCACCTACATACTGGTTATAGGAATTGGCAAGTATTTCAGAGAAGGTCCTGTGCATTGTATGGAAATAAAAAGTGGGATAAGGGAGCCTCTGTTTTCCAAGGAAGAATTTGAAGAAGCTCAGGAATGAAGGAGAGAGCTAATTAAGAACAGGCATAAAACTGGTTCCAGAGAAGGAAGTCACTAAGAACTCGATGGATGGACTCAAGGGAAAGGTCACAGGTAAATGTAGTAAGTAAGGATGAAAACCAGAATACAAGAAACCAAACCCAGGGTTTAAAAAGTTTGTCATCACAGCACACAGAGACTTTAGCATTGCCAAGGGCCAGGAAATGTTATATAACAATACTCTAATTCTCAAATACACATAAGCTATACATAACAGAAAAACAGGGCTGAATGATGATCCTATAATATAATGTTCATTTTAACATTGTTTCTTATAAGACAGAGTGTCTTCTTAATTTTAAACAGAAATAAGAGTTCTACCATTGACCTGTTTGAAAAATCCTCCTCTTTTAGAAGAAAATGCAAATTCACTAAAGTTATCACTGAAGTAATTTTGGCTCCTTGGAAGAAATTTAATACATAAAACTTCAGATGCTATTTTTCAAATTATCTTACACTGTACAGCATATGGTACACCATAATGACATTACTGTTTTACACAATATATTGATTTTTATAGATGTGGCTGATGTTGGCAATTCAAAAGTTCTGAACACTCATTCCTTGAAGCTTTTTACTGGGCCTTTAACCACAACAGTTCATTTTCAATTTGCAGATTCTTTGATGACAGCTGAGTAAATTTTTCTCATGTTTCATAATTTAAAGCTGACAAAAAGTTAATCACAACCACATTAAAATGAACAGCTTATTCAAATGAAAAGTTGGACTTAATATCTTCAACATCCAAACTACTTAAAGAGATTTTAAAATAAAGTAGACTGGAAGAAAAATAATAATGAATAGCATGACTGGCAAAGGGAGGATTATCATTCCATAAAGAGAGCAATCTGATAGAGGTGGTGAAAATTATTTCTTTTTTAAACACTGTCTTTTATTTCTCTATGCTATGAAAATATTTTTTGTCCATTCCTTCATAGGCATAAATGTACATGACATATTCATCCTTCGGCCATGTGCATATTTTCAACTGAGAAGCCATATATTGAAAGTATTTGTACAGTTCTTTTAGTACATCTCTTCCTGGAAAGCAATTCATTAAAGACTGTGTCTTGAGAATGCATGGATGGCATGGGCTACAGATTTTTAATCTAATGATAAACCTTTTACTCTTAGTCCTTCTTGCATCCTTGCCAGAAGCTAATAATAAAAACATAATAATCTGATTATCTGTTAAAAAAATGTAGCAAAATAGGAATTAAAATGTTCTCCTAATTGTGTGAACTGCTTTGTCATGAGAAAATTTTTTTTCCTCCCTTGGAATAGAAAATATTTCCCCCTCATCCCATGGGAAGCTATGAAAGATTGCAGTTTAATTAGCATTTGGAAAAAGGAAAGAAGCAGCTGAGTTATAAGCATAGATTAAGACATGGCGAGATAATCCTCATACTACATCCAACAATGATACAATTAATGAAAGACAGAAAATTGGCTGAAGAACATAGGTAAGAAGAAAATGCCTCTTCAGCCAAGTATTACAAGATCAGTGACTTTTTTACCATGTATCTTGTTATGCACAGCTCAGGCTTCTTTTTAGTTAGCAAGTTCCTACTTACATTATTCATATTCCCTTACAGTTTTCTGCAGTTAGGAGGTTATTTAGCTGTGCTCAAAATGTAAGAAAGATGGGATGGGAGAAAAGAGGTTTATATGAAGCATCATCCCTCACGAAAGTCAGAACCAGATAAAATTTGGTGCAAGATGCAGTTCCTCAGTACCACCTGTGTGTAGACAGAGCACACAGGGGAAATGCCACCTCAGACCAGACCAGAAATTATCCTCATATACATCCCTACTGGTTCAATATAAGCCTGTGGCCAAAAGAAGGAAGAAATCAATTATTCAGCTAAGAAACCAATGATGTATTCTTGAGGTTTTGGTGGGGTTTGTTTCTTTGTCTTTGTTCTTTGTTGTTGTTGTTGTTATTGTTGTTTTGGTTTGTTTGTTTGTTGATTTTTGGGTGTTTTTTTAAGTGCAGCATTGTCCTGACCTCATCCAAAGGAGTATATTCCAAAGGAAAAAGACAGAACAGCACTACCTTAATCCTTGTTATTCTTGGCTAATAGAGCCAGTTTTCAGTTTATTCAAATCAGCTCTGTGACTCATCTGTTTCTACTTCTTGCTGGCATGGAGATAAAATACTGCTGAGAAACAGTGGAAAGACTTTTGTTCCAACAAATGCTGATTTAGGAAATTTGTATGTTACACTTCCATTGTAAATGGGAATTGCACATAATAAAAACCTTCAAAATTTTATAGACATAAGTTAGGGAGGACTTTTTAACATGGAGATACTGACATGAGATGAGCTGTTGTCCTTTGGATTAGCATTCTTATTGGAGAAGTCTCTTAGTTTTGTCTGTGTTTCTGGGTTTAGTATGCAGAGTATAAAACTCGTTAATGGCTAAGTCTAAGTTACAACAGATGCTTTATTATAACCACAAAAACCCCTTTAACAACCCTCAGGAGTTCTAAGACTCAGCTTATTCTCATACAGATTCTTTTTCTCATCTAGCCCTGCTCTGTGAGTGCTTGTGCAATGGTAGGGGGGTTAAAATGGAAGGGGAAGGGCAGGTGATAATTTTGTGTACAGTGTCATGACCAAACCCACCCAGCCTCACCGCTCAAAGTCTTCCTCTGGTTGGCTGTATTGAGGCCTTGTACAGGATTTCTGAAATATTTTACAGCTAACATTCCTCCAAATTCTGGTCATGAGGAGAACAAAGTCTCCATGTGACTTCAGTTCGATGAGTCTAAAGTGCCTATTGTTTCAAACTACTTTTCCTAACGCATGAAGTTATCCATCACTGCTTCTGAAGCTTTGAAAAGTAATGAATTCCCTCAGATTCATTCTGAGAGCAGGCTTTCTTTCATGGGAAGACATGACATCTATCTAGGAATAAAACCACAGAATTAGGTTGCTTTCCAAAACTGCCTGTGAGAATATTCAAGTTCCACTCTAAGCATTTTCAGGAAATACCTTTCTTCCCAATGTGTCTGCGGTAGAATAAAATTTAGTGCCAAAGTTGTCAGTAGTATGGCAGACTTTACTGAAAAGGTGAAGTATTTTGGATGACTTGCAGTGTGCCCAGAGAAGGAAAGGGGAAGTCAGTATTGCCATGCCACCTGGAGGAGAAGTAAAGATTCTGACATAAACTATAAACAGTTTGTCTGTGAGAAAAGGAGTTTTCTAGTCGTACGTTTTATTATCTCAGTCAATAGAGAACAGTTTGGAAGCAGAGCATACTTACGCTTTCTTTCCACAGATGGATTGCTGGTACCAGTTTCTGCAAGTGCTGAAGTATTTCTTTTTTGTTCCCATAACTTGCTGAAGAGCACAGACATTTGGGCTATGGGTGCAGTGAGAAACATTGTAAAAAAGAAGTTTTCATACATGAAAAATTTTACATGAGATAGTCGAAAATAGTTTTCCTGTCGAGTAACAAATTAACATCTGGCTTCATTTCCCAGGACAGGTGTGTTTTGAAGTAGCCACAGTGCAAAATCTTGGGGCCCCCCAGCTGGATTCCTTGGCAAGTCCACCCTCCCTGCAGCGACAGGAGCTTCCCCTTCATTCTGGTTTGACCCTGTGTGTCTGATGGGCAGTGATCACCAGCTGTGCCCAGGCAAGTCTCGATATCCATTTCTCCCTTCCCCCTGTGAAGTGAATTACCAGACACTGGGGACCAGTGAACACCATGACGCTCTTTTCATTAAAGTTTTTGTCTTTTACACATCTGTGCAGCTGCAGGTCATGGGGAGATGGGGAAGAAAAGTGCCTTGTTCTTTATGTAGAAGGAAGCCCTGTCTTCTGTAAATCAATCAGCTATTTTGATTACCAACCATTTTGAGTACCGCAGGCACCTAAATAAACATTCTGGGAATTACTGGGGACCAAAGGGTAAATTGGCATGCAAATAAAAGGAGTCACAGGCTTCAGAGGAGGAATACATGTTCCTTAGCATGGTGGTGTACAAAGATGAATTTCTTATGGTCAAAATCCATGGAGCTAGGCCATGTCATCCCTTATTTTTACACTTCTGCAATTAAAAAAATTCATCACCTCAGAAGTTAGAATATATATTTTACATCGCTGGGAAACTAGTGAGCTTCTTTATTTGAAAAGCTAAAAAAAATTTGAAAAGCGTGTGTGTGTAGCAAGCAGTGGGAAGATAGGATGGTAAACAATTCTTATTCACAGAATGTTTTTTGCTTAAGAAGACTAGAGGAAAATATCTTTAGGCACATGTGTTTTCCTGACACCAGCTGTTTAAATTATTTCCATGTCTCCAAGCAGCCTGGCTTGTAAGCATTGCCTTTTGGAAGCCCTGCTGAGCAGCTTGCTGCATTGGTCTAGTGGGAACAGAAGTTTCACAAAGGATTCCCAGTATATATTCCCACATTAGAAAACATTTAAATAGAGTTAACGGTTTTCATCAGGATGGAACAAAAAGAGCAAATACTGTGGATAGCTATCAACTCTGCAAAAGTTTGAAAACACATAAAAAATTTCCCATCTCCCATTACAATACTTACAAACTGAAATTAATTTTGGTGATTCTGAATCACATTTTATACATAGAGAAGTGGTGATTTTAGATTTCTTTCCATTTTATGAAGTTTAACAGTATTCTGTCTCCTTTTAAAACTCTGTGTAAAGCTTTTTATTCAGGAACAATTCTTGTAAAATGAGTTTTAAAAGAAAATTCTACTTGAAGGACAGTAAAAATTCATAGTGAAAAATCACATGTAATATAATGCTAGAAGAAAGGGGAGAATAAAGATTAACAAGCTTCCTTTTAAATTAGAAATAAAAGCCAGTTACTTACCCCTGGTCGCGTGCCCTTATTCGACTGTGAGTTAAAATCTTGTCATAGTGAGCAGAAGCAGCTGCTTGTTCAAAAGCAGACAACAAAAAAGGCAAAAAGGTGAATAAGAAAAAGATCTTCATCTTTAGTCCTCTGTTGCTTCTGGCAAGTCTAGAAGAGAGAACTGGCAAAGGGTCTGGAGAGCTGACAATTTATATACATGCTAGAAGGTGGTGGGAGGGAACCAGAGGATCAACCTGAAACTCTGTACCACCCCCCTTAGAACAGCAAACAGCTTCTGCTGCCAGCCTCAGTAACCTAAATCAGTACTCTAATTAACCATATAAATAATTTCTTTTAATCCCCAATTGATTAACTTTTTCCTTATTACAAAAGGCTTAACATTTTATTCTGCTGACACAACAACAGAGAGAGTTTGAGAAGTTTAGACTTTGACTTATGGTTTAGTATTTATAGCACTGAGGCATCCAGAGGTCATGATCACTGCGTGTGGTTTTATTCAAACCCAGAGGAAGATGTTGTCTGTTCCCATAAGAACTGCATTGCTTTCCTTTGTTTTCCATGTCCTCACAGTTATCAGCTATGAGCTGTTTAACTAGTGAAGTTGATGAAAGTTACAAATACACTTGCCAATAACCTGAAATAGCATTTTTGTTTTGAGGAAAAAAAGCTGTATTAACACATATTCTGATTATGAGGTAGTCACTCAATCAAATGCAGTATTAATTTAAATATTCAATTTAAGTCTAATGATAACAAGTACTGTTACATAATGCTTTCATTCAGAGCTTTATGTAATATATGATTACTTATCATATCAAAATCACAGAGTATCTGAACATTTGCATGTGTACCTTTCTGTACTTATTAGTCAGTCCTTCAAAGCCTCTTGGAAAATGTAATGGAAATGGAAAATCTCAATCTGAGCTGTAACTGAGGAAACTGAGGCAGAAGTGACAGGCTCCAGTCTCCTATGAAGGGATAGTCTTGAGGCTCCAGGGGCAGCTGGTGTGTTGACTGCAATCCAGGAGTTTGAAATTTTCATGCCAAGGAAAAACTTCTGCCATTTATATAGATGTGTTTGCATAGCACTTCATGGTTTCTAAGATTAAGAGCAGAGACATTTGGTTAAATTGTATGTGAGCTTCTGTTCTATTATGACCTCTATATACCCAACTTGAAAAAAGTCAAGATAGCTCATGGAAGTGTCAGCAGCTCTTGATGTACGAACTCCACGCCTGAAACCTCACTGACAGATCCACTGATGGAGGTGATGGGTCAACTCTGTGATTTCATATTACAAACCTTAGGAGAATATCAGTACTGTGCTCTTATTCCTCTCAGAGCTTTTAATTTCTTTCTGGTCTTCACAGCAAGAAATACTCTGAGAAATATCACCTCTTAAGTGCCTAGCTGTGATATTTCAAGCTGCTAATTTGCGTTAGCTGAGTAGTCTTTGCAGTTCTCAATTTAAAGGTGAAAAATAATCAGAAGATACACTCTAAAATTAACTTGGAAAACTTCAGAAAGTCCCAGAACTGTCCCAGTAACCTGCCTTCTCAGGAGTCCATCCCTTATCTCTGAGATCTCAGCATAGCTCATGTTCTTCTCTTCCACACGTACAATGTAGCACCAAAAAAAAAGTAGCAATTAATGCTGCTGCATGCATTGAGCTCTTGTTTACAGAGCTATCCACCACAGTTAATGGTGGAGCAATCTGAGAGGGCAACCATTTTTCTTTCCATGGTTTTCCAGTTTTCTGATTAGTGACCCTACCTCAAATCTCAGAGAATCCCGTTTGTTCTCTGCGTTGAGTACACTAGGTTATAGTCCAACACTTAATAACAAGCCTGGTGACATCATTATACTATTTTTAATGAGGCAAGCATTAGCCAAAAATAGTAAATGCAGAGGTAAACCAAGCTGCCACATTAGTTTTTTTCCTTCCTTCTGTGAAATGCTTTGTGCTATTATATTTCCTAAGTGATGTTGAAGATCTAATTATAAATGTTAAATATCTACCCATAAAATTGATTAAAACACTGAATGGATTTGAATTACTATCACAGTAATAGGAATAATTATTACCTAAAACAGAAAGAGTATATCTAAAGAAATACCTGGAATAAGAAAAGAACACATGTTGATTTTCATCTTCCAGGACATGCAAATATTGTCAAGAAGCAAAATCTAAGGTATCTGCTGTTCTGAAGAGTTTATTGCATTTCTCTAGAGACCTCTAGTGGAGAGAAATCTGTAAAGTCATTTTCTGAAACCTGTGTTAATTTTTCACACTATGAATTTATTGTATTAGAAGCAATTAATTTTATTATTCCTAAAGAGGATTAGTTTAACTATTTTATACAAATTCTTTGTATTAAAGTATTTAGGGTTGTGAATAACTTCTTTTGCATCAAATTGAAGCAACAGAAACATCTGTCTATTAGCAATTTGTACCCAATCCATAAAAATGAAATCTCAACATGATAGCAATATGGTTCAAAAGAAGCCAGTATTAATTCTGGACTTAGTTCTCGCTGGTCATTTACTGCAGGAATTAACAAAAAGAATTCTGCTCCTGAATCGAACTTGTTTTTGCTTTAAAGTTTAAATTTCATGTGGCACACATTGTCAAATACTTTTTCTCCTTGTATTTCCACGTTTTTTTCAATAACTAAACTTATTCTATACATTATCTTTCCAGATTTTAGCAGCACAAAGGAGTTTATCAAAATAGCTTCCTGCTTTTTTTCCCATGAGTGTTATTTCACCCAGTGAGTGTGTGACACAGCATGTATATATAAACATACATGGGAATTAAATCACAGAAAGCATTGCTAGGTGTAGAAATAGCTCATAGCCATCTGAATTTAGAAGAGAAGAAATGGAGAAAGGAAGAAAGGAAGACTCAAAGTTGTCATTCTGGTGATTCAGAGCTGTAGATACTAACCAATACTTTGATTCCTTCTATATTTTAAGGAAAGATTCATCTTTGTATACTCAGAAACTGTAAGTATCTGGTTTTAAGCAAGTCAACAGGAGCTGTAAAATCAACCTGATCTCTTAGAAAGTGCTATTTTATAGTGAAATTTTTATGGAAGAAGAAATATTCCTAAATTATAAAATACCATGTACATACTCCAGTTTCTTGATTATGAATTTATTTATATCATTTTTATGCATAATGATTAAATTTAAAGTGTAATGTTCCTAGATGTTATTCTAAACTCAGACCTAAAGTATCTTGTATACCAATTTATGGATCTGTTTTTCTTTAGGAAATTATATTTAATGGTGATTTGTAAACCCTGGGAAGGATTGCTTCTAATTAGTCTTTCAGAAGTTTTTCTTTGTATGGACTAATCCTTCTTATGCTATTTGAGAAAAATATACAGACCCAAACTCAAAATATTCTGCTTTCTCTGTGTCAAAGTGACACTAGAAATCCCAACACATAAACTGCAATGTCCACATGGCAAAATTTTATAAAATGTAGCAGTAAAGCCTGAGTTATATGGTCTGATTCCTCAGTCCTGATCTGCATATTCAGTTCAGTTACCCTGAAAAATTAAGTAGGGATTAACCTTACTCCTCAGGAAAAAGGAATGCTGATTTCTCATCCAACAGCAGGTGATGCTCTTCGCATTGGCAAACAATTGTTTTCTTCCTTAGAGAATGAGCACATCTGACAGGGCAGCCTGCAATAAAATCCAAGTTGTGCTGTAAAGCACCGTGGCAAGTGTCAGTGCAACACCGAGATAAGAGCCGGGGGAGCCAATCAATAGGAGTTCAAAAGTCATTCTGGCAGCAGCAGAATGTACCAGAGGGTCCCAAAGACAAGATAGAAGTTACAAGGGTGTTTGTGTTGGGCACCACTAATTTTTCAAGGTTATCCCAGAATTAGATGGTATGACGATGAACTAGACTGTGTCAACACTCTCTGTTCTTTACTGCTTAAAGGAAAAAGCACAGACAAGCAAACAAAGAAAAAGCCTGCGAGTTTGCCAGTGCCATCTAGTTTATTTAGTTAGTGAAGTTACCTCATGAACAATTTCTTTTTTTTGGTTGAGGTTGAAATGACAGCAAATTGCCTAAATGGCCCAATTAAATGCTTATTTACTCTGCTGGAAAGCTTTCAAAAATTTCAAAGGTTATTTAAACTACTCTAGTGCAGGTATAATTTATCACATTTCTAGTTAATCAAAGGATCATTTATTTCAGTGCCTGTATTGTCATGAACACTAAGTAGTGCTCATATCCCCAGGATACGTATACTACAGAAATGGTGGCTGTTTCATCTAGTTTGAATTTTGTGATGGCTGCTGTCAAGTTAAGGCAAAATTCTAAGCTTCTTGCTGTTTACAGGCTGTATAATCCTGAATGCCATGAGCCTTTCCTGTAACACAAACTTTGAAACCTAGAACATACAAAGGCATGAATCAAAAATGTAAGAAGGAATTTATGGATGTGGTGGTATGGTGGGTGTGAGGTGCAAAAAACATGGGAATAACCACCATTTATGATGAAAGAGATCTTTTAAATCAGGCCTTCGATCAATAACACTGCAATAATAAAAGAGCAACTTTTGCTTTCCTCTAAGTGTAATAGAAAGTTACTTAGGAGCAGCTCAAAGAGAAACAAATACTTTCAGGTTTTATAAGGTTAAACACAAGAAAGACAGCATTCTGGAAGATGTGAAAATAAGAATTATGAAAACTGAGGTGTAGTGAAACTTTAAAGCTTAAATTCCTCAGTTTGAGCTTCTGAATGTATGTAAGGATGGGCAATGGATTTGACATAAAAGTTATTTTTCATTATTGATTTTTTTTGTAAGTGCACATGACATACTAAGATAGAGATTTTGTCAATTGAAGAATGTAGTAGTGTCAGCTCGATGTGGGAAGAGAGAAGCGATCTAAGCAACTATATGAAGTTTTTTGAGAATTATCAGATTCTCAGAGATTTCGGGAAACAGAATCATTAATATTGTTAATAAAATCTAAAATTACTTCTTGTTCAGATTTTTTTTAAATGGAAGGGATGAGAAAGCAAATGCAAGATTGATCTCTGATAAAATAATGATAAATATTAAAATAGATAAAAGGTTTTTTTTCAATTTAAT